ATCCACAGCACCTCTGAGCAGGAAGGCCCGGATGCCGGCCCTGCGGTAAAGTGGGGGGCAGAGCTTGGCAGACTAAGTGGCAACCAACAAGAATAAGCCAACTAAAAAGACAAAGCTGAGGATGGTTGCCGGTGGGTGACCCTTGCACAGCAGAGGTGGAGTGCAGACAGCTGACAAGCCAGATCCTGCGAGCTCCCGGAAACGCAAGCCCTGGATACCACAGACAAAGCCAGAGAATGCTCGCATGTGAGAGCAGAAGGCAAAGGTAGGGAGCACTCAGGAGCCCTGGTGGTGCAGCAGGTTAAGTGTGAGATTGCAAACAGCAGGTGGGCAGACCAGACCCATGAGCCACCTCTGTGGTCGAAGGATCAGGCCGTCTGCTTCCGCATCGGCAGCAGCCTCAGAAACCCTATCGGGTGGTCGGCTCTGTTCTCAAGGCCACTCCGAGCGGGAACTGACTGGATGGCAGCAGGATTTTCCTCCTCACATAGGACAAGACACCTGAGAAGCAGGCAGCCTGGACTCACTGCTGTGACCAGGCAGGCAGTGGCCACAGTAGCCTGCTCTCCAGAGTCAGAGCCAAGGAAGGGAGAGCACTGCTGCTCCCAAGCCCACGTGTCCAGCAGAGGCGGAGGTGGGGGTGGGCATTTTGGCCAAACCAGGATCATGGACACCCTCTCCCGCCCACCGTGGCCTGGGATGGGGGCGGTAGGTGGCCCGAAGGGGCCCAAAGGAAGGCCCGGAACTTAACCCCAAGGGGCAACAAAAAAAAAACAACCCCCAACCAAGGCCACAAATGCAAGTAAGGTCCCAAACTTCCTAATACCCTAATACCCAAAGGTCCATTTCACACCAGAAAATCCCCCAGAGCAGGGGCAATCCGACCTCCGTGAGGACTGTCCTGGAGAGGACGCGGCTCTGGAGTCACAGGCTGACCCGGGGTACAGCAGTCAACTATGACCGTGGTGGCCAAGCGGTCGCACTTCAACCACCTGCACGTGTCCATTTTAGCAACCACTCTTAATTCACCCTGACTTTCCCAATGCTCAGTGTCCTCCCCCGGCCCCCGACTATAGCACATCCGTCCTGCCCCTGGTAACTGCTAGTCAGTGCACTTGCCCAGCCAGA